AACAATTATGTTTGAGCAATTATGTTTTTTCAGCAGTTCCTAGAAAAAGGCTTTACAGGAGGGAAAGTAATTTCTGGCTACATTAGCCAGTATTAGTAGCTATTTGGCTATGGGTAAGTTGAGAAGTATTCTATTTGTCTTTGATAATTCATTGGTATCTTTCCTCTTTCTCCGTAGTCTATCTTTGCACATCCTGCTCTACTAGGCACTGGATGCCCTCTCGCCCTCTCTTGCCATACTTTTGCTCTAAGTTTACTCATATAGCCATTTCTACTTTAATATAAATTAGTTTTAAATAGGATTCAAAGTCCTCGAGGTACTTTCATTTTAAGATTTGATGGTAATAAAAGTTATCACCTATGAATGAGTTAAGGATTATTGTTAATAAGGTAATCAACTGTTTATTACACAGGGATAATCTTATCGTCTTCATATAAAGGAATGTTTTAGAAAAGGCTGCTTGATCAGTCCATGGGGAAGACTGCTCCTGCCCTTATTTGGCATTAAGTATAAATGAAGCCAATCATCAAGGTTGGGGTGACATCTTGATATCAAATTGCCTTACCCCAGTTTAGAGACTATGAGGAAAACTTTTCTTTTACTTTTTTTTTAAATTAAGATATAATTTACGTACCATAAAGTTCACCTTTTTAAAGTGTATAATTCAGTGGTTTTCAGTATGTCCATTCAAAACATTTTCATCAACCCAAGAAGAAGCCAGGTATCCCTTAGTGGTCACTCTCCATTGTCCCTTCTCCCCATCTCTTGGCAGCCATTAATTTACCTTCTGTTTCTATGGATTTGTCTATTCTGGACATTTTATATAAACAGAATCATACAATATGTAGCCTGGTTTCTTTCATTTAGCCTAATATTTTTAAGGTTCATCCATGTCATAGTAGGTATCAGTACTTCATTTTTTTTATGGCTAAATGATATTCCGTTGATAGGCATTTCTACTTTTTGATAAATATGAATAATGCTGCTATGAATACTCATATACAAGTGTTTGTATGAATATGTATTTCAATTCTATAAGGGGAATTTTTACCCTCAAGCATTTTTTATGCCCATATCCTTAATTAGGCCATCACCTCCCTGAGGGAATTTTTTTTCTGTCAATATTACCAGCACTTGGCACATTGTTCTGAACAAAGAGGTGCTCAAAAATTGCTGATGGTGACAATTCGAAGGGTTTGAATTGAATAAGGATTGAAAAGTTCTATAGGATGCTTGAGAACTTCTTTGGCCCTGCCAATTACATTCTGGTGGCTGTGCACTGGGGGGTTTGGCCTGTTTTAGATCATTACATTCTTCCATATGTAAAATTCCTTCCCTAACACTCTGGGGAAACCAAAAAAATCACTCTTCCTTTGAAGCTTTTCCCAAACCAACTAGATAGGATTAGTCTTTAAGTCTTTTACTCATTGAACACTGAATTTGTACTTTAACAAAAGATTTAGAATAATTGGACTTTCCTCTAGTATCAGGTTTGCAAAGTCAAGGATTCTTTATCACTCAACTCCAGTCCAGAGGACGAACCTGTGGCCTTTGTCATTGGAGCTGTGCATTAACTGCTTGTTAACTCGAATGTTCTATGGAGCCAGATGGCCATCTACAAGGAGAGGCGTAAATCTAGTCACAACAGGAGCCTCCACAGAATTCCCTTGGTTCCTGGAACATAAGGTGTGGACTTCTATGGTTCTCCTGGGCTAGAGGCCCAGAAAATGAATGGAGATTATTGGAATTAGAGATGTGAAAAAGCTGTCATTTCACGCATTCCTTGTTTTCACTTAGAAAGTATGTTCATGCTTGCTCCTGTCTGCATCACTGTGGATTATCTTCAAGTCACCTCCTCTTCCAGGAAGCTTTTAGCATGGCCTCCAAAGCCAACCTGTCTGGTTTAAGTTCTAGCTATGTCATGTACTAGCCATAGCCTCGAGCAAGTTACTGAACTTCTCTGTGCCTTAGTTCCCCCACCAAAACATGGGTAGAATGATAGTCCTGGTTTTACAGGGCTGTAGTAGGATTCGGTAGTGTGTACTCACTAAATGTCAGTTATGATTGGCACTCCCACCACGATCTCTTTCTTCTCTAAACTCCTCTGTCATCACACGATTCGATAGTTAATTCTCTCTAATTTTTCTTATAGCGTAATGTTACTTAGCTCCAATTATTTTTCCCGTGGTTTCGGCTATCCAGAACATACTCGAAAACCAAGAGGCATGCAAATGACAATACTACCAACACCGCCATCAAAATAGCTGAACACCCAAATCAATGTCACAGAAGCCCTGTACTAAAAACAAATGAGCTTTACTCGTAAAACCTCTTACGCCCACACTTAAAGCCTGTTAACTCTTAGCATATGTACAGTTAGAACAAGCTGCATCATCTGCTTTCCCAGCCCACAGCATATACAGAAGCAGTCTCGGATCATTTGGTAGAGGAGGAAATAGTCCTCCATGTCTCAGAACTCCTTAGGAAATACTTCGAGTGTAGTGAAATGATGCCCACTACCGTGACACTGAGAAAGGAGGCAAGAAAGTGAATTTTAGAAAGATTATGATTAATATAATTTAAAAATTAAATTTATAGAATAGCACCTTCTCGAGCAATAGCAAGTAAACAAGAGATCACGGTATGCTCATTTTTCTCTTCTTCACCATGTCAGAAGCTCTTGTGAAAGCTTTAGATCTCGTATTTCTTTTGCATCCTCATAACGGCTCATAAGTCAATACTAACTCTCCTTAGAAACCCATTGCTGGGAAAAGCCAAACTTCACCAATTGCTGGGAAAACAGCTTAAATTTAAAAGGGCTATAGCTTAGTTTTTAAGTAAATTGTATCTGACCCCATACTCCCCCCCCCAAAAAATATTACCAGAATCATTGATGTAAATTTTATTTGAAGACATTATCAAAATAGAATAATGTTTATGAATGACACAAATATGAATTGTTCCCCTTTGGGAGTTTACAGCCTAGAGCAGTGTCGTTCACTAGAATTTTCTGTGATGATGGAAATATCTATATCTATGCTGTGCAATCCTGGAGCCACTTGCCACATAGGGCTACTGAGTACTTCAGATGTTCTACTAGTGCAACCGAGAAACTCAGTTTTAAATTTTATTTACTTTTAATTAGCTTAAATTTAAAGTCTCCTGTGGCCAGTGGCCCCCAAATCAGGCAGCGCAGCTCCAGAGTCCATCACTAAAAGTACAAGCTTCCCCGAACCCCTTCGTCTTCCATAACCATCTAGCCAGAGTTGATCCTGAGAATGGTTCCCAAGATCCTGCAGATCCTTGATCCTTAGACAAAGGTTTCATTAACTCAGACGTTAAAAGAGCTGTTCAATAAAACACATTTCTTGCATATCTGAAAGCCAAACTTCACCAAAGGACGCTGAGTTGATCCAGGTTCTGAATCCTCCCTTTGGGCCTGTTTATACTTTAAATTCTCCTTATCATCTCAAGGGAAAGGCACTTGGCATAAGCCCTGAAGAGAAAGGGGAAGAGTTCTCCCTCTCTCTCCCTTGCTCCCTTGCTTCCTCCCTCCTTCCCGCTCTTTCTCCCTCCCTCCCTTTCTTCCTCCCTCTCTGCCTCCCTCCCTTTCTCGCTACATATACATACACACATATGTACATATATGTAAGTGTACAGGGCTTACATATGTAAAAACAAATATACCTTTCTGGAATCCATGCTCACATGTTAGCAGCTTAAGTAAGGCTGGATGTATTTGGCTCTGTACATTTATTGCATATCTTACCAGCTGCTATTTAGTTTGCATCCTTAGCAGAGAGAACAAACTAGAAAGATATAGATTCCCTCAGAGGCCTATTCTAGAGGCATGAGGCAACCACAAGGAAGAGGGAGAGGCTGAAGAGGTGGCACCTCCAAATGCCCTGGCGAAAAGTCGTGCAAGCGAAGAAAACGTATTGGCCTGGAGTTTGGGGGTGTCGCACGGAGCTCGGGGAGCCCAGGCAAGCCTCTTTGCATTTCTGGGCTCTCATTTCTTCCCCAGCAAGACTGAAGCTGCATCAGATTCAGACTTAGGGTGTGAGGGCCAAGAACAACATATAATCCATTCTCGTTACTGCCTTTCCTCCAGACATATGCCTAGAACATCTCTTTCATCATCCACTTAAGCCTCACAACAATCCTGTGAGGTGGGGATTTCTCTCCTTAATTAGGGTTGCGGAAATTTTATATACAAAAATACCAGTAATTTATTTTTGCAAAATGAGAGAATGTTATAACTACCGGACTGCAACTCGCTTCTTTCATTCTTAATATAGAATGAACATCTCTCCATAACCGTACATGCAAAACTTTTAACATCTTCAGAGTGTTCAATTATATGAAGTCATCATAATTAAGCAATCCCCCCCAATTTTTTTTTATTACAAACAATGCTACACTGAACTTTTTTTTTTTTTTTTTACAAATATATCCGTGTACTTGTGTGAGTATTACTGTAGGATGAATTTCTAGAAGTAGGAACAGTAGGTCAACATACATATATCAAATCATTTTGTTGTGAACCTTACACTCATATGATATTATATGTCAATTACATCACAATAAAACTGGAAAAAAAGCAGAGTCTTAACTCCAACCCGCCTTTAAAAATAAAACAGTAAGTTTAACAGGGCACGTAAATGAAACATTTTAATACTTTCTGTACGATCTGGATAAAAGAAAATGAACTGTATTTGGATGTCTCTTGTATGTGCTGAAGGTCTTTACAATCCTAAATGCAAATACAAAGTGAGGATCAGGACATCTGTTTCTCAGAGCTGGTTTGAGATTCTTGGTTCTGCCGCTAAACATCTATGAAACTAGGAGCCATGACGAAAGCATATCATTAAACATTCGAGGCCTTAATTTCTTCCCATGCAAAATGACAACGTTCTGAAGTCCCTTTTTTGCCCTGACATTCCTTTTGATTAATCCTTGAACTCTCTGCTTTTATTTTCTTATTTATAAAAAAGATTTGATTTTTTTTTTTTTTTTGGTCTTCCAGGATCAATCAGTTAATGCATCAATTAGTTAAGACCTTCCAAACTTAGAAGTGCTAAGCAGTTTTCTTATTATTTGTAGAGCAGACAGATCTTTGCTGGATGTGACCCGAAACTGCTTCGACTTCCAAAATAGTTACTGGGTCTTTAAGAAAGCAAGAAAATTATTGAATCCAAGAGGCCGCTCTGTCTCAGCATTCTGGACTACGGGCATGACAAGCAGCAGGAGGTGTTTGGGAAGGCTGATACGATATCACATCTCTCTTGGGAATCTTGCCTTCCCGGAATGAATATTTCCAAATGTATGTTCTCTGACAAAGAAGGGATTGTGTGGACCACGACCTCACAGAACACACAGCACATGTTAGATGAGTAACTTACCCAATCTCTGTTTGTGGTGTTTGGGACAAAGTCTCAGATAAGGCCTTATGTTTTCAAGGTGTCCCATTGTCATTATCCCACTTGGCCCTCTCCACATTCCCGATGTAATAGCCAGAGAGGGCACAATTATCCGCATTGTTAAGATGAAGATGTGAAAATTCAGAGAGGTGTGCTGACTGGCCTCATATCACACAGCAATAAGTGGCAGAGCTCAGTACAGGGTGTGGGTCCTAGCATGTTACTTTTCAGTTCTTTTTCTGTTGACCCTTTTTAATGGCTGGACTCCTCTTCAGCATCCTCTCTGGTTCAGACTTATCCAGTTGGAAAGGTACCACACCTTGGGATTTTAAGGGGCATATACAGTCTATAGCGTGGAATTTCTCTGAATTTGGGATCCGGCCGATGGTGAGTTTTATTTTCTGAAACATAAGAAAGAAGAAAAATTATAGGACTAAAAATTATCCTTAGGATTGTTTGTTCTCAGTCTGTCCTCATTCATATCCTGGGAAGACAGTTTTGAAGAAAATCCTGTGATGAACTATAATCTCTGGACAGAAGAAGCTGGGATGACTTGCATATTCGGGTGGAAGGTGGATTTTTATTCTCTGGCATCCACCGGCTGGATCCAAAGATCATCCTTGGTGCCTGATGGTCCCATCTGTATCAAGAATTAAAAAGCCTCTTGAAACTAGAGAATTGAAATAAGACCGAAGACGGGATTAGTCGCTGACAAAATGGGGGAGGAAATCGAAGTTCGAGGTGTTTCTCCTGCCATCTAGCATCTCCTGCCCCTCCTTTAGAAATCTCACATTTTTTCCTCTCACTGCACCTACCCACCCCCTCCCCAAACTCCCATTTCTCTCTACTCAATGTCATTCTCAAGGAAGGAAAGTGAACCTGCTCGGTTCAGGTGCTTAAAATATTAGGGACCCTTGGCTGCCTCTCCTTTGATTCCATATCTTCCCTCTTCTAACGTTTTTTTCCTTCCTGGGACTAGCTCTTTGCATTTTCAGAAAGGACTGGGTATCCATTTTCACATCAAGAAATAAGTTAGGAATGGCGAGGCTGGGAAAGTAGAGGATATTTTCGATCTTCCAGGTAATCATGTTGGTGAACATCCCACGTTTCTCGATAGCTTCTAGCTGTTATTCAAGAGAAAGGGTGCAGGCAGAATGAGCACAGGAGAAATGCTGTCATCCCCTCCCCAGCAGGGAACAATTTATAAAGGCACTTTTGATAACTGCAGTCAGTGACGCCCAGGTAAAAATCCTTTTCCTGGACCTCCTCCCAGGCCCAAATCCTTCTCTTGGCTTCAGAGGTGACACCTGGATCTTTGGGTCAGGGCATTGTTTGTAACTTTCCAAAGCATTCAGAAGGTTGTATTGAACACTTGGCCCCCACATGGGTCTTCGAAAGATGAACTATAGTTACCAGTTTGTTGAACTGGGCCCCTAAAAGCTACCTCTTTTCCACCCCACAACTTCTAATCTAGTCTTCCAAATGCAAACCAAATATCCCCTCTCCGAGACACCTTTCTGGCCCCCCTCAAATAGATTTACTCCATCCTTCCTCTATGCTGCCATGGCCCTCTGTTCATATCTCAAGGCACATACTATGTTATAACTGGCGTACAACATGCCTGTTTTATCCACTAACCTATGAGCTCCTTAAGCTTGGGCTGAGGCCATGTTTATAGCTCTATGATCTAGCACAGTATCCAGTATACAGTAGGTGGTCGATAAATGGTGAGTGACGAGTGAATGAATGAATGAATGAATGAGCCCTTGCTCTGCCACTAACTAGTTATGTATCCTAGACAATTCCTTACTGGGTTTCCCCATTTAGATGATAAGATTTGTACAATTTGTCTAACCAACAAGGTTATATTGTGATACAGAAGAGATAAGACATATATAATCATAAACGCTCAGTGCCGGAAGAAATTTAAGAGATCACCTTGTACAGTGGTTTTCAGAAACTTTAAGGCAACAAGTTGTGTCTCAAGGAGAGCTAACTGTTCAACGTTTGAAAGAGATAAATGATAAACGTAGACTGCTTCAGTCAAAGCCTCACATACTGTCCCCTTCCTCTCCTCTCCTTCTGTCCTATTTTCAGGGGCCAAGAAGCACAGTATGAAAAACAAACTTCTCACTTTTGAGAGAAGAAACCGATGCCCAGAAATGGAAGTGATTTTCCCCAGGTCACGTGGCTTGTCAGAAATAAAAATAGACAAGGGAAGGAATGAACAATGTGGAGATTGCAGTAATAGGCAGCACTGTGGTTAGCCCTTTTAAAAACACACATCCTCGGTACATACATATGCGCGTATTTTGTTTAACTCTTACCATAACTTTGTGAGGAAGGTATGGCTGTGTCGATTTCTGAGATGAGGAAACTGAGGTTTAGAAAAGTGAACTTGTCCAACACTCCCCAGCCAAGGGCAGTAGAAGTAAAATAATATTAACCATACTGAGCCCTTAAATGTGCCAGTCATTGCTGTAAGCTCATTACATAAAAGATCTCATTTAATCCACCAATATCTAGTGTTATCATTATCCCCGATTTTACATTAGAGAAAATTGAGACACAGATTGGTTAAAGGACATGAATCAAACCCCAGGTTAGTTTGATTGTAGTGCGAGCTCTTTTTGCCACATCGTGCTGCATCTGAGTTCCTGAACTCAGCTGTTTGGTCTCCTAGCCTAGTGCTCTCTCCAAAATTACATTATATGAAAGAATTTTGAGAGGTCCTAAAATAACATTGTTACTATTTACATGTATTGTACACAGTGTTGTTTACACTTCTTATTCTCCTATTTACACTTGGTGGCCGAGGGTTGAAGAGTCCCATTTGTGTTCAGAGGCTGTTCAGACTCCATAGAAGACCTTGGTCTCGTCCCCTCTGGCACTGACTTGCCCTGACAAGGTGACATGCTCCCCGTGTCAGTGTGATCCAGAGCCGGCTAGCAGGACTTACCTCTTTCTGGATGCACCGGCTGAGAAACAAGGAGACCTCCTCCAGGCTATGGGGCTTCAAATCATTCACGGCCAAAAGGTGATCTCCGTGACAAAACAAGCATCCCAGGCGTGGAGGGCCTTTCCACTGAGCCACACTGCAAGGGGGACACAGCATCCAACACAAGTGTGAGACCGTGCTCACTGGCAGTGCAGGACCCTGGTAGGGACGCAGATGGGGCCTTTTGCTCTAGCCTATCCCATTGTTCCTGACACCACTTTCTTTAGCTATGTTGCACCACTTCTGAAGTAGTCAGACACCTTTTTCTGTCTGGAATATTCTTTCCTCTATCACTGCCATGGGAGCCGGAGCCTTCCTGCAAAGCCTGGCTCCCATTGCCATGCCTCTACAAAACCCTCCTCCATTCCTCTTCCTTCACTTTAATTAATCTCTCCTGCCCCCAGGCTTCTATTGCACTGTGCGAACACCTCACTTATTGTATATTTAAACAAATTGCATTTTATATTTACCTATTTATGTGGTTGTCTTTTTCACCAGGTTATGAGACACCAGAAATTTGGTACCACCTTAAAAAAATATTTTTTATGACACTACATCTCCAAGAAAACAAAAAGTGCCTAATAAGTATTTACTGAAAGTGAGCACATAATGATTATAGCTAATGAACAAATAAATGAATTAATAAATGAGCAAGCTTAGGCACAAAGAGGTCCACAGTTTTAATCAAGTATTTATTGAGCCTTAGATTGTGGGAAATGTGGAAAAATGAAAAGTTATGTTTCCTGCCCTCTTACAGAACTTAGAAGACAAACGGTGTGTGACATTTACTTTACATTAAAAGGCTTTCTTCCCTTATAAAAATGTAACTTTCCATCAAAATGAATTATGTCTTTAAAAGAACGTAGAGTCAAATAAACAGCAATCGTTTTAAAAAAAAATTCTCTGCTACCCAGTCTTTGGTGTCTATTCCTGACCAGCAGGATTTTAGCTGATGTCTGGAAGTCTGAACCCTGGTATGCCTTTTTCTTTTAGGTCTTAGATTCTTGTTGACTTCACTAACTTCATTTATTCACAGATATTCATTGTTCATTGATTGGGATAATTTCCTTGGACCATACATAATCCATCTCACTTTTCCTTACCTTTAAAAAATCAGAAATTTGCTCCTTCTTGGACTTTCGGGTCCACCTCCCCGCTGACTTTCCCACACAACACCCTCATTTCTACCTCAATCAAAGACCTTTTGTGACAAGAGCAATATGACAAGACAGTCCAAGACAATGTCTCAAAGATATAGCTGATGTCTTCATATCTTCCAATCCCAAATGATTATCAATGACCCTCAGATCTCCAACTTACCAAATCTGTCCTGCAGCTTCTATGAGAGCCAAATAATTTATAATGTCAGTAGGAGAAAGGAACAAATGCAGTGTCTCCACTTGGCTTTCATCAGGGATGATGTTACTACGAGATAAGACATTTATAAAAGTCACATCAGGCTTTCAAAAATCACAAAAGTCTCTGGCTCTGAACTGTACTTTTTGAATAGACTTTGGCCCCCTATAGATGAGATGGTATTTTCCAGTTAAATATTGTCCAAAACATTTGGAGAAGAATATGAATTTAAGTTATTGAAAAATACCCAGTAATGCCTTCCTCTGCCCCTCACGGGAGATGGTAGTGGGTGGTAGACATTGGGAAGGGAGAAAAAATGGACTAAATTGATTACATAACTGTCCATATCAGGTCATATCAGTTTGCATATTTTTCCACTGGAAATGATTCCATAAAAGACACTGAAAGGAGTTAAAATTGAGAATAATCTCATCAAACACTCTTGGCATCACTTAAAACCTAAGCCTCTTTCTCCTCCTAGTCTAGCACCAAACCTCATATGACTTGCATGCCCATAATTTTAACAGTAAAGCTGGGTGACATGCTCCCCATATCAGTGTGATCCAAAGTTCCAGGACATTAAAGACTAGTCAAGGAAGAATTTTCAAAAGTATTTGAGAATTTTACCCACAGCCCCGGGGGCGGGGGTAGGGGAGTGGGTGGACCACTTTGCTTCCAAGTCTATTACTCACTATGTGTGGTCACCACATCAGTGAGGAGGGGGAGCTGGTCTGATTCTTGACTGACTTGGAGATTTTTAGGAACTGCTTTAAAATTTGAATTCTGAGTTAGAAAGAAAGACTGCCTTGCTCTAAGGACCCATAAAGCTTTAGAAATTAGAACTTTACTTGATTAATATAGATAATTGCACAAGAGTTAGTGAGGTCGACCCCTTTTCATCATTCATAGTCTGTGCTTCTGTTTTGGCAGGTGAAAGACATGAGTCACTTCCTGAGCCTCGTTCTTGCAGATGAAGCCCCTCATTCTGGGTCTCGGAAAGTGTCTGGGATTCCTCTTTGCTATCAGCAGATTCATTGGTTGTCTCTTTGAAAAAACTAGATTATAAGAAATGAAACGAACCCATTTTTAGCACATCTATTTACAACTTTCCGAAGTGTGTGAATCAGATTTAAGCAGCTAACAGCCACGTGAAAACTAAAAAAGTTTGAAGTATGTCCACCCATCAGAATCACAGCCACAGTTAGAATCGAATCCAACAAACTTTCCATCTAAAAGTGAATATGGAGTCAAAATAACCCCTTAACATTGGGCAGGTTGGGAGACAAGTGAGAGTATGAGAGACATAAATGAAAAATAGAAAATAACTTCCCCAGGAGATGGAAAAGTGTCTGGAGGATGTCACTGATGGCTTTCTGTGGATAGAGAAACCAATTCTCACTTTTTCTTGTTTTGTGATTGCTTAATAATGTGTAGCACTTGGTCTGTGGTAATGCTTTTGTATAAATACATCAACAGTAATTTTCTATAACTATATATTAGCTAAAATCAATTTTAAAAATATGGCAGTTTTACTTACCAGGATTCCATTAACATGTAAAGACCCTCAGTTTTCTCGGAAACCTGGTCTGGACTACCAGGTGTAATGGGTTCACCAGAATCATTGGAAGCAATAATCTTATCCAACTATAGACAAGAGAAGTAGACATAAGGATGAAAGTCTACCAATAAGCCAAGCACCTTTTTATACCTTACATGATGGTTCTGGGTCCTGAAATAGGAAACACATCTGCCATTGGATGAACAGTTGTGCACATTCCGAGGGACTGACCCAGTAAAGCTTTGGCAGACTCAGTCTGTTTTCTTCTCCTGCGTTCTCCATGCCTCCGATACAAGTGTTCTTTTTGACTACATTGATATTTATTTTTCTGCTTCGTCACTAGCCACTTAATGACATGAACTCTTTTTCCCAACCAGTGCAACCGTAGAATCATGTCAACTTGGCTGGGTCAAAGACCCTGACACAATGCAAAACTGGCCTCAGGCTACTATGATCACAGGTGGCCAAGGTTGTTTCGGGTGGCTGGAAGAGTCCTTCCTGGGGGCTCTCAATTAGCGCCTCAGAATCGAGACAGTCATTTGGGGCAATGATTGCTCAAAAACCTCAGGGCTTTCTATTGCCTACCTAACAAATTAATCATTAATCCATAATTGGAACACTTCATTCCAGCGAAGCCAGTTTTCCCACTACAGCCCTGCAAACGGTGCTCTTCTAATGCCCATCTTCAGGCTGTGTCCTTCCCAGGAACGCCCCGTTTCTCTTCTGCCTAATGAAGTTGTGTTCAGTCCTGGCCGAGGTCCCACAGCCTCCTCTGACCACTTTAGCCACTGCCAATCTCTTCCTTCTCCAAACTTCTATGGCACCGTTTTGTACTCAAAAATTTGGGGGTCTTTTCTTTTTAACGGTCTTTTATCTTAGTTTTATCTGCCTGACTACATTTTGCATCCCATGAAATACCTAACAAATCTCAGTTATGTAACTAATGCTCAGTATAACTGACTGGTTGTTTGAACTGTCATAAAAGGCTGGTTGCCATCATTACGTTCCGGGGAACACTGGCATGAAAATATTTTGGTGAAAGAAAGGTCCTGTGGTCAAATGAGCTTGGGAAATGCTGTGTGTTATAGCCTACTTGGCAATTTATAATGCTTCATTGCATGCCAAAGACTCTGCAGATTCTGCAGTTAAGAAGCTTGTTTAACTTACTTTAATTTGGTGTTTCTGGAACTTATTTGATCCCAGAATGTCTCATTTATGTGAACATGAGTCACCATCTTGTAGAAAACTCTCACTTTGGAAAATGCTGCAGCCTCCCTCTCCCTAATTTTGTCTTCTTACCTTCCATTTTCATTCTCTTCTCTCTATCATCCACCTAAAATATCTGCTGGGTTAATAGTGCTGGAAGATAATTTGGGTTTTGCCACTTCCCATCGCAGAAGCCATCATTGTCCCTGTGCTGACTAAAGAATGAAGTCAACTTGGCATTCAAGATCTATCACGGTCTGGCTCCTTTTTCTGTAGTTTTCCCCATCATGCCATTCACTCACTCTAGGTTACGGTCCAACTGAATCACTCACCATATGTATATCAAATGATATTTTGTCTCTGAAGCCTTCCTTGACTCCAGAGAAGAGAGAAAATCTGTGCTTTTTCTATTGCTTCCAGAGCTCTTTGCCCATACCTCTTGTATAGCATCATCATGTGGTAACTGAGAGGACTGTGTAAGGTCCTCTCAGTGATGTAAGGTCCTGGATTGTAGCATCATGCCTAGCACACTACCACGTCTAGTGCACAGAAGGCTTCCAATTGCTCAATAGTCTAGTTGATACATGCCACACAATTTATCACCTAAGGACCTGTGCTCATGTTATTATTTCTGCCCAGAATGCAGAAAGACTCCCCAAGTCAACCCCCCAAGTCCAAATTTTACCTATCAAGTGAAGTCAAATGTCATATCCATGGAACCTTCCCTGGTCTTCAGTCTGGAAGTCAGTTTCCCTGCCTCGTATCCCTCATGCACGCAAGGCATTTTATAAGCATCTTTCTTCAGCATAGATTCCGTTTTGCCTTGTATCATGATTGGCTCCTACTCAAGTGTTAATACTGTGGTCACATCACCTGTGTCTGACTCTCTGATCTGTGTTCCACTGAACCAGCCTATGGCCCCAGGAACAGTACCTAGCAGGGGTGCAGCAGATATTTACAGAAGGCATGAATGATTAATGAATGAAAGGGGTTACCTCTAAAAGCAGACTTCGAGGACTAATATAATGGCTCTCTTCTTCTGTATCTTGAGTGGTCTCCAATGAGAAATCATGTGGTAGATGAGCTCGTCTGAGTGCTGGAGAACTTTTTTCCATTAAATGCTGAATAAAGAAATGAAGACAGAATGACTGATTTTCTTTGCAAGAGACAGAATTAAACCACATGCTTTCTGGGAAAGCCATAATAGATTAATTGGGTTGAGATGATCAGAGGATCTTCCAAGATTCTATCTAGAAGCCCACATGACTTGAATTTGCCTCTTGAATTTGGGTCACCACTGATGATGTCAAAGTATGAGCTCATCTTTCAGGCTGTCCTCTGTGATTGGGATTTGTAACTCAAAACAAATGGGACTGCAACTTTCCTCTTCTTATTCAATATTTCTCTTTTGTACTCTGCTCACTTGCTTCTATTTTTTCATAGCTATGCAATTTGGTGGTGTTGATCATGTGATAGAATAAATTATAGAATTCAGGGTGATCTAAGTTCAACCAATTACTGCGTTCTCTCCCCAAAAGATACAAGATACTCTACTAAAGTAGTGGCTTTACGTGGCAGGAAAATTGTTATAAAATTTAGTTCTTCCAAGAACAATGCCTGAGAGCAAGGGGTTTTAAAAAAAAAACCCTGAACGTTCTCTAGGAAGTCCTTGAAAAAATGTGATAAAAAAAAAAGATACATTTAAGTTGCATTCATTTTCTAGCTCCAGGCTCATGGATCCAGATCATGCTGAGTTGGGAACAAAGAAGGGTTCTAACTTAATTTCAACAACAACAACAACAACAACAACAACAACAACAACAACAACAACAAGAGATCCTAACAAGGCAGATGGTACTCTTAGCTGGAGCTGATTAAAAAACTGCTGGGTTAGAATACATAGTTTGAAAAGACAAGACAACCAGTAACATTATCTTTGAGAAGAAGTGGTATTGTGAGTGAAAAGCAAGAGGCATTTACTGAAAAGGGTTTATCTTCCCAACCCTGTTTCCTGTCACCTTTCTTATAAATATCAAATGAGGTGTTTGACTTGGTGAGTTCGATAAGCTCCAAAAAGCGTTTAAAATAGTTGGAGAGCTCCCAACTAGATAAAACAGGTGGCTATGCCATATTAAGACGTGCCTGGTCCCCAGAGAGAAGGGAAAGCCAGTGGTTACCTCTCTAGGGACAGACTAATATTCATAGCAGAAGCAAAAAGCACTCAACCCATTTATTAATAATATCCCAAGCTGGGAAGATTGCAAATCTGAGAGAGCTGAGAGTATAATTACACATCACTTTCAAGAGGGCAGATGTATTTTTTCCTCAAATAGATTCCATTAGAATGAAGATGAAGCCACACACATGTATGCATGTGAGGAGAAGCAAGACTGATCTGGGAAAATGAAAGAAATTAATAAAAACTCTGATTTTGCCTGAGGAGTAGAGATGATATGGCAGGAAATCAAGTGGTGTTTTGGGAACATTTTTACATTTTATGTGTGAGAAGAAGGAAAAGGTTGCTTTTGTTTAGCTGAGGGGCATCCTCCCAGCATGCCCACATGTATGTTGACGAGCGTCCAAAATGAATGAATCTATTTAGAAGTGAGGAGGGCAAGCAGTAAGGCTCATCTGTGGTATGGCAAACAGACTCAATATAGAATAAACACTAGGGCTCTGAATCATTCTTATGGCGGGTGAAATTTTGAGGAAGATGTCAAATACATTAGAAAGATTTTTGAGCCATCAGCTGACTCCTAGACATGGTGTCCTAAGAGAGAATGAGGAGAGTCTGATTACCAGGTCTGGAAGATAATTTCTCGATGATGGGAAGCCGTCAGCCTCCGATGTGCTGGAAGGACCAAGGAGAGGGTCGGGGTCTGAAGAGGGTCTTTTATCAACCAATGAGAGTATCTTCTGCTTATGAAAAAAAAAAGAATATTGGAATCAGGCACGATTGATCTCACGTCTGGAATGAAGTGACAGCCTCGTCACTGAGCTCCCTCCCTCCAGTCTTTCACCACTAACATTTATACTGACGGCCAGCATTCTCTCACTGAGACATGAGGTCATCTTGTCCCTCTTCTGTTTCTAAACCCTCGAGGACTAGCATTGTGGCCTTCAGAGATGTCCTGAACTTCCCTCAACCTATCTTTTGAACCCTGTGGCCCTCTGCACCCACTCCTTTGTTCTAATAATTCGAGTCAGCTGGTAGACATGCCTTGCTTTCCCCTCCTCCCTGGCCTCTGCTTTTGCTGGATGCAGAGAACAACCTAGAAAACATGTCAAAACGATATCTAGAGACCAAAATTTCATTTATAAAGGTCCGCCCTAAGAAAGGACTTTTGTAAATTAGCAAAGATTCTTAGGAAATAAATGAAAAACAAAGTTATTAGCCCTTATGTTAAAGAGATATTATTTTGAAAATGCAAGATAAATGAAAAGCATTTTTACAGAGACCACCTTAGACTTCGTCATTTGAAAGGTAGCTGTTTTGTACCTTGAATAACAATGATGGAAAATACTATAGTTTCAGCTACTGTTTCAAAAAATGCCGTAGTTAATTTTCACTCCTCCTACCCCAATAATGAAAATCTGAAGTGTCTGTAGGTTAGCTCTCTACAAAGCACAGAAGTATTTTTTTTCCTGTTGTTAGTCATAAAAATAACAAGGATGTACATTTTCTCACTTATTTATTCCTTGTATTAATGCCAGTTGCTAAGGAGGAAAAGAAAAAGCCATGATTGTTTTCCTCATGAAAGAGGGCTGTGTTCAGGTGCCCTGTTATTTTGTTAGTGATGGAGAGTCACCTCTGTATTCTGATGTGCTGCTTTTATATCCGAGCAAAATGATGAAATGAAGGAGACCCAGTCTTTAATCTTCTCCCTGTTGATAGGAATAAACGTTTGATTGGCATGTGGCAACAATGGCGCCTGCGCTCCTTTTGAACTAGAAAAGAATTCTTTTATAAAGGTTGGAACAGGCAGTGGGAACAGGTATTGGGGAATTAAGGATTTTTTTCTAAGTTGCTTAAATGACCCACTGACTCCTCACCACCTCCACACTCGCACACTAGAATTAACCCTCGTGACACCTCTGTGAGCAAAGCTCAGAGAAATGGGAAGAAAAGTAGAAAATAACAGTAGTAATCACAGAGTTCGGAGCTTCTGGCTTTGACACCGATTTCTTTTGTGTTCTTAAGCGAGCTGGGTAACCAGTCAGCGCCAGTGTTGAGTAGCTATCCAGGTGTGCCTCCCTTGAGAGAGTGGATGTGTTTATGAAGAATGTGTTAGCAAATGTACATAAATCACATCTTCTTTTCTGTTGACCCTTATGACAATTTAAAAAGAAAGCTTTTTGGCTCTGGGTCGATCAGAAACAGATGGAGATTCTTCATACTTTGGCTTTTGTACTCGTTGACTCCTCCGCACAGCCTCCCCCTCCACAAGCAGGTAATCACCTATGCAGAATCCGCTAGGCACCTTTGTTAGCCCCAGGAGTCCCTTTTTAAAAACTGAGGACCTTTTCAAGGATGAGCATAACCCTCTCCAATACATGTAGTTCCTATAGATGTTTGTGTATTGGTATGCATCTGGGGTGATGGTGGCTGTTATGGGCTGAATTGTGTGCCACCAAAAATTTACATATTGAAGTCTCAATCCCCAGGACCTCAGAATGTGACCTAATTTGGAAACCGGGTCAGGTTGTTATAGATGTGATTCGTTAAGATGGGGTCATACTGAACGAGGGCGGAATCCTGACCCAATATGACTCGTGTCCTTATAAAAAGGGGAAATTTGCACACAGAGACATGCGCACAGGGAGAAGGCCATATGAAGACTGCAGTTGTGCTGCTAAGAGCCAAGGACTTCCAGAATTTAGGAGGGAGGCCAGGAGCAGATCTTCCCTAGGGTTTCAGAGTGAGCATGGCCCTGGCACCTTGACTTTGGACTTAGCCTCTGGAACAGTAAGAATATAACTTTCTGTTGTTTTAAGCCCCCCGGTTAGTGGTGCCTTGTTATGGAAGCCCTAGGGAATGAATCTTGTGACTTTTCATGGTATTTTGACAAATAATGAAGGCTGCCAAGATGGTGTTTAAGGTTGTAACCAGGGTTTTCTGTTCTAAGCATGCTTATTATTCATTGGTTTAAAATGTTTCTGTTTGTTTTTTGTTCTGCACACAGGAGACACTGTGTTATATTACTACTTGCCTTTCATGGCTAATGAGGAAGTATTCCCTGGTAGCGGTTCCGATGGACATCACCTCATCCATGTGGCATTTAAACATCTTCTGTACAGTCAGCAGTTTTTCGTGGCTACTTATGCCAACTTCTATGCTGCAATTTCTGTGAGTTACAGACATAGAGTATTAAACACATGCAAATACAAAATTGGGAAGAAAATTGACTAACATTTTATGTTAGGATTCAAATTGAATAAAACTTTAGATCTGCTCGATCGATGTTTTGAACACAAGCTCATCATTTTAAAAAATAAGTTTAAATCTCATTCATCATTGAAGATACTTTGTCCAGCATGAAACTTAATTTGAAAATTCTTATTTCAGTTGGATTCTTGATTCCACAAATTATCCTGTTTTCTAATTTTTTTGGTACATAATTTCTTAAAGAGAAGACAAAAATAGCCAACCTAATCTTTTTTTAAACAATCTCTTTGGCTTTATGAAATGTTAACTTCACTTGCTTTCCCTCATCCATCAATTAAGTCAATCAAAGTCTTTTGTAACTAAATTAATTAATAATTTATCAACTAAAATATACAATATGAAATAATTATTTAGCTATCTTTTACTTAAATGTTCCCCATTTTACCTTCTTTTTAGCAACAAATATAAGTGTGAAGCCCTTGCTTCTTTCAATGATAGTAATTTCAATTTGCATGCAACATATTAATTTTTATTGTTATAAACTTTTTCTTGATTGGATACACACCCATCGATTTCAATGGAACCTCGGAGATGATGGTCTTTGTAATAGGAAAGACTAAGTCTCTTTTCCCCACGCCTTGACAAAATAAAAAACCGCTTTTTCCAGGAGGTCTGAAAAATGAAAACATTCGGCATCTCAGCTAAATCTCAGAGGAAGAGAAAGGATTTTAAAAACGCTCATGGGGCTGGTGGGAGGCTTGTTAAATCATAGTGAATACTTACCACCGAAGTGAAAAGCTGAGGAGGTGGTGATTTAATAAAGTAATCTTGTTTGCAGACTTCATTTTCATAATAATATGTAGATTGTTTGCCTAATAAAAGAAAGTGAACAGGACTCAGTTTGTTCCCTGTAAATTTCTGAAAAGAACTGCTTCAATTGGAAAACATTGTTTACCTCTGGAAAAGTCTTCAGATTATTCAGTTATGGAAAAGAACATCTATAATAGGCCAGGAAAACAAAGGACCCAAAGACCAAGTGTGTGATTCTTGTTCATCCACAGCAGGGACCTTTATTCAGATGACATTTAGAAGTAACTTAATTCAGCTCACTTCTGTCTGCACCTTAATGCAGGTCACACCTTTTTCGTTCTCTGTTTCTGGAGCACTTTGCTGGCTCTCTAGATGAGAGCGAAGGCTTG